CCTTATATTCTTCAGATACTTTTTCACCACAGTTAGTGATATCTTGCACGAGTTTATTGAAAACATCTAAATTGTCATTCATATCTTTTGAAAATTTGATTTTGAATCTAAAAAAACTTTCAAGTAGAAAAAATTTGTTTGGAGTGAATTTTGACACATAAAGTTCATCCAAGTTTTCCCAAAGTACTTGAGCTGATTTTAATTTACCAACTTTTCTTAACATAGTATCAGACAAATGTAAAATGATAGAAGTATAAGCCAATTCATCCAAATTCTCTTTTTCGTCAGCAGTCAAGTTTGCGGGAAAAGAGCCATCAATAGCTTTAGAGACTTTTTGTTGAACAAGAATACATTTCATTTTTTGTTACCAAATTGAAAAATCTCATTTACCATTAAAGACTCATCCAAATTCTCTTTTTCGTCAGCAGTCAAGTTTGCAGGAAAAGAGCCATCAATAGCTTTAGAGACTTTTTGTTGAACAAGAATACCTTTCATTTTTTGTTATCAAATTGAAAAATCTCATTTACCATTAAAGACACCCAACTCAAAATGATGTGTCGACATCTTATCAAAAAATGCACACAAACGATATGTAAAAGTCACAGGTCAAGCAGATTACACAGAGTAATAAGATTCCTATGGTTTCACAATAATACGTTATTCTTGAACCCTAGGATTCCGTGAGAATTGTGTTCTCGGGTCAAGGGAAGAAAATAGAGTAGGAGTCCGGATACAAGTCTAAAATAATATAAGATTCAATAATAACGTTCAACAAATAAATCTAAAGACAATAAATAAATAATTTCACTTAAAAATTAAACAGAGTGGCAAGTCATCCTAAGTTCTACCAACAAGCAATGGCAACCCCCAATCCTAATGATCACCCCACACGATAATCTGCTAGTGCGATAATGTAAAAGTTTTAGCCAATTTATCAGAGCAGACCTTTTTGAGTCCGTAATTTACGAGAGATGCAAATTTACTGCTTTAGGCCTCAATTTATGGCCTAAAGTAATTCAGTAAATGTATATGGCAATTCCGACTGTTGACCTACCAAAGGGTAAAATCATCCAACTTTTGTTGCAGTACCTAAAACGAAAAACTAACAACACACGAAGGTTAGAAATATTAAAATAAAAATTGTCTGAAGGAACTTTGCCTGAAGTAGCCTCAAGCGCCCTCGTCGGATTCCACTCGCAGCCGCCGACTACCACGCGCTAGTCAGTCACCTTCTTCTTCACCTGCTGAGTTCGAATCTGGTCTTCGTTTCTCCAATAAGTCAGCCGTTTGTCCAGAAAGTGGATTTGCAGGTCCGAAATTCTTAAAAAAAATTTCTCTGTTCTTTTTCAACAGTTTTGTTCACGATTTTTTCTTTAAATTTGACTCCCCACCAAGCTCTGATACCAATTTGTGAATTTAATTCCACCCACAATTGAACAAATCAAATGAATTAGTTTATGGAATTAAACAATAAGAAGAAATCAAATTAAGAACACAAAATTGAAGAATAATAAGAACAGTAGAATTCCCCTTTAGGCTCAGAAAATCTGATCCACCACCACAAAGGTAACACCAAGTTTTGGAGAATGACACGGGCACACAAAGGCAGGAAGAAGGACTGGATAAATTGTACAAAGCAAGGAATGATATTTCACAAAGCAAGGAGCATGTTTTCTGCTTCTTCAAGAGGCACAAAGCAAAGTGATTTTGGTGTGTTGAATTGAGGACGAGAGATTCCAATTTATAGGCAAGGAGTTGAACCAATTTCCCAGATTTTTTTCTCCAAGGATAGACATTATCAAAACCGAAGATTGGTTTGATAAAAGATGAGTTCAAGTTGGAATGAAAGAAGAGATAAACCCTTATCATTTTATCTAGGATAGACATTATCAAAACCGAAGATAGTTTAGATAAAAGATAGAGTTCTACAAGTTTGAATGAAGGAAGAGATAATCCCTTATCTTTTTATCTCCAATAAGTTGGGTATTGAGCATGTAACCGAATGGGCTGATTTCCTCTAAATACCCAATAAGATGTGGGCTACGACGTTTGTGGTGTGGACTTTAATTATTCTTCAATTTCAGGCTTATAGCCTTGAAGTTAAACGGACCAATGTTTTTCATCATCACCTAGGAATTATTTGGGCATCACAAAAGATACCCAACAAATTAGTTTGATTTTTCTCGTACTTTACGGTACAAGTTCCAATATTAGATATTATATTTTTGTGTTTGATTTTCATAATGGTTATGATTAATTTTAGGGCATGTCGCTTATGCAGGTGCATTGATGCACGAGTCCATGGTGTTTTGGAAACAGTTGTGGTTGTCCTGGGAGGAGAGCAACTCGGTCGTATGTTGTGTGAAGCAACTTCTCAAATGGCAATGTTTTGGATCCAATGGAGAGCTGTCCAGCAAGTGCCCTGTGCCATTATCATATGGTGGGTTGCTATGATGATAGTGCAACAGTTGAAGAATTTGCTAAAAGGTTGGAGTTCAAAGGGCCTATTGTAATTGCTTCTAGTACTTTAATAGTTAAATATGTATTGTTAATATGACCTTTTAAAAAACTAAGGATTGGGATCGTTAGATGTGGAGTATTAACTGTCGAAATTGAGCATGTTAATGTTGCCACCCTTGAGAAACTTGAGCAACAAGGGGTGGACTGCCAACCTAAAGCTTTAACAATCCGAATTATCCAAGTTTGTTGCTTTTGTGGCTCTCAAGTCAGAAACGAGTTTTGCATTTAATGGTTCCTCTTCTTAAGGTCTCCGTTTTTATGTTAGAATGAAGAGTTTAATTGTCATGCAAGCTTATCTGTGTCACATGTTCAAGTCAGATGCATTTCTTGTGCACGTTTTCTGTTTTGATGACAATTCTGTGTTGTCTTGATCATTTCTTGATCACCAGACCGTTATGTCAATTTTATTTTCTTGATTGAGGTGGTGCTTTCGTGAGAAATTGAAGTTTGTTCATCGTTGTTCGTTTTTTTCCTTGGGTTAAGATAACATTTGACTCCGGACCAGAAGTTGTGACTTGATGACATCAAGAGTTAATATTTCTTTGTTTCTTACTCAATACCAGATTCTAGCTGGAACACTTGCAAAAATATAGTTTCTTAACTCTCACATCTAAACTCCTATGTGTTCCAATCATTTTTGATGTGCGTTTATGTAAAATGGCATTGTCTCTCCATAAGTTACCTTGATAGCAAACAAGTTCTCAACTGTGAAGGTTGAAGACAATTGAATAAGATCTTGAAATCTTGAAGTGAATGTTATTCTTCTCAAGATTTCAACAAAGAATTTATTGAACTCTCTCACATTTTGTAGATTAATTTGGCCTAGTATTGGAGTAGCCGTATGTGTGTTTGGTGGTGGTGGTGGTGGTTGGGGGGGTGTTGTTGGTTCGCTTCATGTCAAGGCATGCTTGGATTTGTCAGTTTGTTATTTTCAATATCTATGTTACATAATGGGGTCGTTGAATTCTGTTCTCAGTGACAATGGTTTTGAGGAAACCCCTTTAATTGTCTATTCTAGACTTGGTGTCATACATTTACACATGCACAACATCTTGAATACAAACGATGAATAAAATGCTTGCATTATATGTGCACTCATGTTAAAAATCTGTATACGAATGAGAGAATATGTGAGCTTTTGTTAGTTGAATTTCTTGCCACCTCTATGCGAAGTTATATTTCAATTATTATGTTGTGAACAGGATAAATACCTTCAGAAGGTTCATTTTTCTGAACGTGCAATTCCACTCCCTGAATTCATGCAGGTGATCTCATATTTATAATGATCTGAATTTTGAAAAACGACGATAATTACTTGATCAATAAGGATTAGTGATTTTTTTTTTCTCACAGAAAATTATTTCTTTATTACAATAAAAAATGGCTGACGGATCGATGATATTTGAAGTGCTAAGAAAGCCGGAGACCTATTTTGTTATCCTGTTATAATTAAATAGAGAGCAAAAGGCTGGCTTATGATGGGCGTGGTAATGCTGTTGCTGGAAGTATAGAGGAGCTTTCTTCTACTGTTGCTGGATTGATTGATAAGCACCATTTTTCTTTGTTCTGATGTAGGGTGGACTAGCTTATAGTTCAACAACAAATGATTATACCACTAGCACAATGAATGAAGAATGATATCTTTGTTCAGTTATGATGGTTGAACACTTGTTTTGGATGCTAATCGTCTTGCTAAAGTAGATAAAGTTACATGTAACTGAAGGTTGCATCTTATCATGTAACACTAATATAAAATATTTGTTCCTACTTACGATATAAAATTATTTTGTTGTTCTGGGAAATATATTGAAAATCATTCTAGGAGCAATATCTTGAATTTTGACAATTGAACAAACACAAGTGTGGGTGAATGACATTCAAAAGTTAAACAATCCGTCTAACTGGAATTGCATTGTGGTGTTCATCTTAACAATCCAGTAATCATACATGATCTTTCAATTTGAGAAAAACAGGAGACATTTCTTCATGATTAACATTTTTTACTATAATGCAATGCAAGCCAAACCATTTTTAATTTGATATCTGTTCTTTCACTAGACAGTCCCAACTTCCAAGTAATCTTTTGGAGTGAAAATCAGGTTAATTGCACAGAAACAATATCACAGGATAAGGGAGATTTCGACAAGTTGTTGAGATGAAAAATTAGCCTCTCCAGGCAGAGTGGTAGCCTACCTACAAGTAAAACATGATTTACATGAACAGAACTAGCGATTAAGCCTAAAATGAAATCTGAAATTAAGAAACGCAACAACATATATTTCAGAATTTTATTTCTAAACCACTGTTCTTAATATTGATGTTTTTAAATAAGAGTAACTTACAGAAAAATGAGCCAAGCATCTCTATCTTGACTAGAGCCTGTCATCTTAGTTCTGATGCATGTAGAGAGAGAATAATCTGGCGGAGTCATTCAAGTGGACTACAAATTAATATGAAGAGAATCATTTATATTTGCAATTATTGAAATAAACAGGAATACTGTTTCCAGTTATTTTTTTCCTGATTTTGAGCGAGGGTTCCCTAATAAAGAATTTAAGTGCCAAGTTATGGTGTTATTGGGATGGAATGTTTTATGGATGACAGTTCATTCAATTTGTCATAAGAGAAAACTGTTACATTTATAAATTACGTGGCATGCTCACACGGCGGGGTCCCATATATGTCGATGTGGCATCGACTATTCAATTGATTGAACTTACTTAATTAAACAATTGTATGTGTGTGTGTGTGTGAATTTCATTCATAATAAGTTAGGTTCTCAAATCCTAATCAAACCCCCTCCCCCATCTCTTGTACTCATTTCTCTCTCGTTCGGTAGTTAACTTGACCGTCGGAGTGTAAATGGTTGCCGTAGATTTTTCTCGACCGGTGACCTTTGCCTCATAACGAGTATTTCAGTGTACAGACGATGCCTACTTAGAGGGGAGGTGGTCGAGATTTTGTTGGCGTATTTTTTGAGGTCAACAGATTAGAGTTATCTGTGGGAAAGACACGTTAACCATGTTCTACCACAGCCAAAAGGCCATCGGAAATGATAAAAAATTTCGGGCAGTTTCTACTGAAAATAACAAAGATAGTGACTGGAAAATGAAAATTTTCAGGCAGTTCCTTGGGCCAAAACGAAGAAGTCAGCCACAGCAAATAAAGAAAATGAAGCTACAAAGATTTGAAAATTTTTCCTTGAAGAATGAAAATTTTGATCTTTATATCTTTGCAGAAATGAGAAAGCAAAGAAAGATGGGTCACGTGACTATTGTTGGCCCCTCTATGGGTATTGTTGAATCTCGGCGAAAATTCTGCTGAGAGAAGAAATAATGGATGGACAGCCTTTAGGTCAGTTCTATTTGATGGCCTTATACTGTACTTTATGTGGGTGAGCACATGAGATGACGCATTCCGATTTAAATCTGTGATAAGGATTTAAAGATTTAGAAGGATTAATGTTGGGAGATCAATGTTTGTACTCAAGTTGGTTAATTTATTTTATTTATCTTTATCCTCTCTGAATATCTTTATCCAATGTTTGGGTGTACTTCTCTTTGTTTACCGTATTTATTATACACCGTATGCCTCCTAAGGTAGCTGCACCACGTGTTGGAATCATCATGGGCTTGGATTCAGATCTTCCTGTTATGAAGGAAGCTGCAAATTTTGAGTTTGATGTGCCTACTGAGGTTATCTTCATACACTGTACATTCTTTTGCTAACTTTTTGGCACAGTGTAGATATTTGTTTGTAGGATAGAGGCATATAAAACTTCAGAAAACTTTGTTATGTAGGTAAGAGTAGTTTCAGCACACCGGACCCCTGAAATGATGTTTTCTTATGCTCTCTCTACTCGGGAGCGCGGTATCCAGGTTATCATTGCCAGTGCTGGTAGTGCCGCTCGTTTGTCAGGTCTTTAATAATAGAGTATAATGTACCATTACGAATCACCTTTCTTCAAACACACTGACCTAACCTTGTTTGATACATTAGGCATGGTTGGTGCATTGACCCCCTTGCCTGTGATTACTTGCTTCTACATTAGATGGACTCGTCTCCCTCTTGTCAATTGGTCAGGTACTTTAATAAAAAATTCATTATATTCAATGTCTGATGATCCATTAAATCACAATTAACATATGACCTGAGGTAGTTGCAAAAGATTTGATTTCACTGGACCTTTCAAGAAAGGTACGTAGTTCTGGATCAAATGGAACAATGAAATAGGTCATATAGTTCAAGTTTATTGAAAATAATGCTTAAGATTGTTTTTATTGTGTCATAACATTTTCCAAATTGATGGAACTTAATATTTTTTGAGTAAAAGTAATGGATTTCCCAGTTGCAACAGTAGCAATAAATATTGCCATGAATGCAGGTTTGTTAAATATTGCCATGAATGCAGGTTTGTTGGCTGTAAGACTGTTAGGGATTAGTGACATCGACTTGCAAGCAAGGTTTTTCTCTCCCTTCTTGTTCTCTTTAAAGATAACCACCATCATAATCCTTTCCTCTAGAGCTCCAAAAATGAAAAAAAATATGTATATATAATTGCTTTTGTAGAAATTATTGTAGTAGCTTGTTTCCATTGGTATAGGATGACTCAATACCAAGAAGATTGAAGAGACGAAGTCTTAGAAAAGAGAGAGAGGCTGAAAAAAGGGGGCTGGGAAGAATACTTGAATTTATGATCGATTATGCACTTTTAGTAGAAATGACATTTTCTTTACACTCACGAAAATCCATTTCAAGAAACACCGAAGGATAATGTTCGAAAGAAAATATATGACTTCATGATGCAGCTCTCGAAGTAGAATTGTATGTCTGACTAGCGAGTTCACATTGGATTATATTCGATGCACATATGAGACGAAGGCTCCGATTGCAAGTTGTTATTTTATTTGCTTGTAGAATCACATATTGGACATAATAATGATTTTATTTTTTGGAATATTTAACATGGTGTACATTTAACAGAAATAATTTTCCTTAGATAGTATTTAGTTGACTTATTTGAATGGGTGGAGCTAAGATTGCTGAGGGTGTATATAGGGTGTAATATTTTAAGGGTAAATAGTACAGAACGTCCCTAGCATTCAATGTCATTGTGCAAAACGTTAATATCTTTCATTTTTTGACATTTTCACCCTTACGTTCCACCTTCGTTGCACAAAGTGTCATTTTCAACCATTTTTTTAATAAAATGACGATTTTACCCTTCTATTCAAATGAAATAAAAAGAAAAGAAAAAAAAAAAAACAACTAATTGTAATCACAATCCTAAAATTTTCAAAATTCTCCAGCACCACCACCACTTTTACAATCCTACCAAGCCGTCACCTAAAGATCCATATAGCACTATCTTCTAGCCGTGGCCCGCTGGACTCCACCATCACTAGTCTCGCTTCACTTTTCCCAACATCCTCTCCCACAATATTGGTCACAAAATCTATCGAAAATAATCACATTTGCAGTTTAAAATACCAAACTGCCGTATACAATCCTTCACGGCAACCCCACTTTCGATGCCACCCACGATCGCACACCACCATCGACGGTTACCCCTCACTTCGACAAACATATACAATGACTCACATCAATCAAACCTACCTCAAATCATTCTATTGTAATCTAGACATTCGACAGTGGCAATGTCCATTTTGCCAAACTCTTCTCCTTCGATTCCTGCATCCTACAACACTAAATCCACAATTTGGCGTCAATCAAACCATCAACAAACCCAAACCCAAACGACAATGGATATGAATCTAATCGAACCAATTACCCTCCAATCGTTTAAATTTCTAGTCCAAAACTCTCTACGGGTGCGATGCACGGAGAGAGCTGTTTGACCAAAATTTGTGGGTTTAATGCTCCAAACTTCAAATTCATGTGGGGAAGGACGATTGGGGAGTGGAGCAAGGTTGGTGGTGGTGGAGTCCGCTGGGCGTGGTGGCCGAAATGTGGTGCTCTGTGGATCTATAGGTGGCAACTTGGTAGGTTGTGAAAGTAGTGGTGAAAAATTTATGATTTCTTTGTAATTTTTTAAAAACTTAAGGATTATAGTTGCAGTTGGTTATTCATTTTTTTCTTTTTGTTTTATTTGAAGAGAATGGTAAAATTGTCTTTTTTGAAAAATGGTTGAAAATGACCTTTCGCGCAATGAAATGTGGAAGGTAGGAGTGAAAATGTCAAAAAATGAAATGTCGGGACGTTTTGTACAATGATATTGAAAGGTAGGAATGTTCTGTGTTATTTACCCAATATTTTAACTATAAAGTCTGAATTACAATGTAATCTTAAGTGTTTTTTTTAGCTTTCAACTTTTAATTTGATTGATTACAAATGTTGTTTTTTATATTTTCACCCCTTTAAAATTAACGGTGAAAATTGATTCTATTTTATGGTGATTATTTTTATAGATGTTAAGATGGATCCTTCTAACATATTACTACAACCTTGTAGCAATCATTACAAGTTTCATACAAATAGCATATCTAGTTATTCTCTTCCATCTCCTTTACTATAGATCGCCCAGGACAAGTTCCTTCCATAAAATTCCGAATATTTCACTTTTTCTCAATTTTAAAGTTTTTTTTTTTTTTTTTGACGTAGAAACCCGCAGCCGCTACCCTCTAGCGGAACCCTGACCACCCCCAAGGGGTGGAGGCACAACGATTGTAATTCCGCACTAGGTAAATCCCGCTCCATGTGCAGTAGCTCACATATACGTTTTAACCTTTAAATGCGTAAGCACCGTCTATGTAACTAGTGAGTTTTAACCTTTAAATGCGTTGTTGTGTTTGGCTTTTTTCTTTCTTTCTTTTTTTTGTATGAAAGAATGGCTTATTTATAACAATTGTTTGTATTTAATCTTAGGGTGTGTTCGATTGCAAGTATAGAAGTTGCATGGAAAGAAAATAAGTTTTAAACAATTGAATTGCCCGGATATTTACACGAAGTGTCAATTAAATTTTTTCAATTGTTTTAATTTTCAACTAAGAAAATGTTGTACTTTTTCATAAAGTTGAGTTTTTGAGAAATGTGAATTTTTAAAAAAATAAGAATTTATCTTTTCATAAAGAAAATGGTTTAATTGTTTTTGAGGAAAACAGAACTAATTAGGGCTGTACAAAACTCTCGAATCGAACCCAAACCCGAATCGAGCGATTCTTCTTAAATTAAATACCTAAACGGGTATTTGAATTGAAAACCCACAGATTTGGTTCGATTCTCGGTTCTAGACCAAGAATTGAATCTCCCTAATTTTTTTAATTTTTTATCTTAAATAAGCCAAATTATTTTATTTTTTAAAATAAATTGATAACTAATTAATTTAGTCCAAATCCAAAATATGATTTTACTATTTCTAATTTCTCGCCCAGCCCAATTTAATCAAATTGACCTAAGTTTTACTCGAATCTCTTATTCTACTATCGTGTCGTTTCTATCGTTCTATTATTAGACCAAGAATTGAATCTCCCTAATTTTTTTAATTTTTTATCTTAAATAAGCCAAATTATTTTATTTTTTAAAATAAATTGATAACCAATTAATTTAGTCCAAATCCAAAATTTGATTTTACTATTTCTAATTTTCAGCAAATCTCAACTTAATCAAATTGATCTAAATTTTACTCAAATATCTTATTATACTATAGTGTCATTTCTATGATTCTATTATTGTGAACTTGACATATTCCTCTTCCTGTGATTTTAACAGTCAAATTTATGAAGAACTCAACAAAGAGAGGTGCAAAAGATATCAAAAAATTGGACTATACTATTTTATAAGAGTTAAGATTGAATATGTTATAGTCGAATTAATATAGTGTTTTTGAAATATAAAAAAATTTAATTATTGTACGGAATCCCAGAACCGAATAGAATCGAATCGAACCGAACCGGAATGATTCCATAATTAAATTTAGATTCGACAGTTTCATTTACTAAATATCCAAAATTTCAAATTTCGTTCAGTTCTCTTTAGAACCGAACTGAATCGAACCATGCCCACCCCTAAAACTAACTTTTGAAAAAAAAAATTCATTAAAAAAATGTCAATTAAATATCTCAAAAGTAGAAATTTTGGTGGAAAAATAACATTTTTCATGAAAAATAAACTCAATCAAATACCCCCTTTAATTTCTACGTAAAGCAAAACCAATTGGTCATTTAGAGTTTGTTTGATATAGATTTTTTGATAATATATTTTGTGAAAAATGATTTTTTTTAAAGATTTGTGGTTAAAAAATAGGAAAAATTTGTGAGTCGACGTGTAAAATTATTTTATTAGAACAATGCGTAATAAAAAATGAATTTAATTAAAAATAAATTTTAAAGAATCTCGACTGAATAGACTTAATTATTGGTGCGTGGAGTTGAGTAGATGTGTGTTGATTGCTTCTTGTTACATTAACCATGTTGTTAGTTTTCGTTACATTTTGGAATTTAACACTATCAGTGACATTGGTAGTGTTTGGTTCAAATTTTACGTGTTTAAAATTTTGTTCCTATTAGCCCTCATTTTCAAAAATTTATTTTTAAATGTACTTCCTTTTGCTACTATGTGGAATGTAACGAATGGTGAGGGGAGTGAAGCAACTCAATAAAGCCAAAATGTGCAGTATTATGAGACTACTATTCTAATCACGTAGTTACTAAGGATTTGTTCTTTTTATCATTTTCAAGTCTTTTTTTTTTGTTTTCGATTTTCCAAAACTGTGAAAATGCGTTCTCTTTCCTATTTTCGAAAGCGCGTTTTTGAAAACAAGTTAAAAATTTACAAAGAAAACTAAAAACGATAAATTTGTCGTTCTGGGTTTTTTCAGTTATAATCAAGTCAAAATTTTCAAAACGAGTTTTGAGTATTTTCAAAATGCCAAAAAGAACATATTTTCAAAAATCTCAAAATGAAAACTCAAAACACAAAATCCAAAATGAATTCAAAACTCAAAAAACAAAACTAAAATACAAATAGAACAGCTTCTAATAAATTTGCCGTTTTCATCCCCTTGCTTTCATATACCAAAAACAGAGGAATAAGTTCAATGTCACAACTAAGGAAATAATCCACATTACTAGCAAGGAAGGGAACATTATGAAACTACATAATAGAGATCACACGTGACATTAACAGTAGTCATATAATAGTTCACCGGTAAGTTTCACATTTTAAAACATTGATGACACGAAATAAGAAAGAAATAATCGTCATATATCAGTCAAAATACAACGTCACATTGTTTGCATTTTAATTATTCAGTTAACACGGGTCACAATTTTCTCATCAATCACAAAATGCTACTGTTGGCCACACGACTTTAATCCGCCGAACTTAGTTGCCATTTAAATGCACGATTAAAGTTTTCACTTAAGAGGTAAGATGCTACTCAAAGGTGAGACTCCAACTTGAATTTTAATGTACAAGAGAGGCCACACGATACAAATAAGAACTCATCACATAATAGTCAAAATATATCGTCACATTTTATCCCTTCTTTTCATAACAACAACAATCAAATAAGATAGAGATAGAGGCCACGTAACATAGGCGATGAGTCTCATTATTTTGCATTTTAAGTTTTGGTTATCGCAAGTTATAATTTCTTCATCGATGACGCCGGATTAGAGACAATCACATAGACTGATTTGTTTGCTCACCAAAATTTCTTGCCTTTTATACACGATCACAATTCTCAAATCAGACATAGTGCTATCTTACTCGAATCATACAACACATGTCAAATTTAACGTGTCTCGTGAAATATTTCCCGTAAATATTAGGCGGTCCCATCAAATCACAGAACACAGTTCCCATGGAATTCCCTCAAATATCATTCTAGTTATGTAGACAGTCAAAATTGATTCGACTAAAGTCATTTCATCATTCGGTTACGAATTTATGTGGTTACAACAATGTTTATCACAAAACGACAACACGAATACTTATACAATCACAATCACGCATGAATATTTATACAGTCAATTATGAATTTATGAGGTCATGTCGACGTTATACATCGATTGTGAATTTCTGTAGTCATGACAATGTTTCACTTGAAATCATAAAATAAAGACATTCCCTTGTAATATGCAAAAACAATCTTCTACAATTTCACAATCATATTTGGAATAAAATCAAGCTATATATTGATCTTCCGGTCACAATCCATTATGTTTCTTTTTCATATTGGTCGCATAGATGATTAGGGGGAGAGAATAATTATTTTTCATAAATTTAGGAAGGTTCACGGGGAGAGAGAAAATATTAGTAGACATATCACGTTTTTTCTTTTGCAAGTCCATTAAATCCGATTACATCAAATATCTATTTTATCATAATACTTCCAATTATCTTTTATTTTTTGTAATCGTTACCAAATCTTGATATTTGTCAAAGAGAAATGTTATGTATAGTCAGTGACTATCAGTAATTATCTTATATGACAGATTGTTATTTGTGACGTTAGTTTCCTTTAATTATGTTGTCTCAAATAATGAGAAAATTACACCCATCCCTATTTCTAGCTCTCCATTTCAAGAGTTGGAATTTAAATATCTTCTTTCAAAACTTTATACCCACGCCACACCACCCCACCCCATCTTACCTCACACCACCCACCTACCATTTAATCATTTTTCCTCCAATTTCCAGATCCACACTCCAAAGCCTCTCAACTTTCGCCCAGCAGTCCCCCGCCACTACCACGTGGCGAAGCTAGGTGGTCTATCAAAGACTTTGAAGACGCTTGTGAGGACGGAGGGAAGATGGAGAAGGTGATAGAGGAGGCTATTTTGTACTTCGTTGCAGATAGAAGAATAACTATTGGTATTAGAGGGCCTGACGGTGGAAATTTCTTCATTTGCAACAAGAGCAGAGACAGATCTTATCAATTTGTACCTGTAAATTGTAATAGATAGATTGTCGACTTAAATTTCAAGAAAAATAAATGCCAATGCAAATAGGTCATCATTAGATTTGTTGTATCTGTAATAGATCTGCTTGATGTCGACAACATTGTAGACAGTACTACTACTTTTGGTTGTGATGATGGATTTGGGGTGAAGGTGACGGTGGTAGTTGTGGATATGAGGTAAAAATAAAGGTGGTGGGGGTGCCTTGGATGGTGCAAACGGTGGATGAGTGGAGTGGAGTGGAGGGGAGTCGGGTGGGGTGGGGTGATCGTTAATTGTGTGATATGTGATTGTGATAATAAATTGTGTATTTATTGTGAGTGTGGCATGTTTGATTATATGTATGCTACAATATTTTATCAGATGTTACAAAATTCGATCATCTAATTTTTGAAAATTTTTATCAAAATTTTGCATGGTAATGATGTACTTTTCCCTGAATAATCTCACAGACAAAATTGATTTGAACTCGATAGAAGCCCATTATTGGACGTTAGCCCAGTTAAAAGGCAATCTTCTTGGTGTAGTTAATCAGTGCATATCCACTTATATAGATAACTCAGGCCCGTTTAAAGTCTTATTGATAGGAACATTTTTCCATATGCCCGGGCCTGTTTTGAGTCTTATTGATGGAGCAACAAGAGGGTCAAGCGGCCAAGGGTTTCAGGGCACCAAGTTTTCTAGTGTTGCAGTGATTTCTACAAGAACTGGGAAGGTAGCATCATATTTATTTGTGTAAAAAGGGCTTTATATGTTGATTCTGCACTCGATTTGATTGCTGTGAATGATTTAATTTCAACACAACCTGGATCTAAGATTCTCATCTTCTGTCTCCTTAGAATTTTTTTTTTTTTTTTCCCGAAGTTGTTATTTCTTTACGGTAATCTCCCTTAGCAGCGATTTTGTCTAGAATTTTAATGAGGCTGTTTACGGGTTCCACTTGCCTTTAGAACCGGCATCCCCGTTAAGTGTAATCGGTGGAATACCCAGGACCAAAATCCAGTGGGAGCAACTGCCTGACTAGACCGGGTGGCTACACCCCTGGGTTAGGGGCACATGTTGAGTGTGTTGCATTGAAAACTGAAATCCTAGGACTGAAGGGAATGGAAGGGGAAGAGAATAAGAAGATGGGTTCAAAGAGAAAGTTGAAATTGGTTGAAATGGCATTTGATTCGGATGATGACGAGCCTATTTTGTCATTGCTAAAATTAAAAAGTAGAAGGAACAAGAAAACTAAGTTGGGGTTGGATGGTGGTGGAAATAAGGGAAAAGCGATCGAGAAAATTGTGGTCGAAGAGGAAGAATTGGGTGGCATGGGTGATACATTGGCGAGTTTTAGGAGGAAATTAAAGGGTCCGAAAAAGGATGGTGGGTCTGATGCAGTAGTTGAGCAACATTTGGGTGATAACACTGTGGAGTCCTCAGGTCAGTCTTTCATAGTATCTGCAGAGAATGACTCTTTGGGTGAAAAGTTGTTATTGGAGGTTGGGGGGAAAAATCAGGTGACCGGTATTGGTGGATCTGATGGGGATGGGACAATTGGCAAGGCCTGTGAGGTGACGCACAAAAAGACAAGCGCAAAATCCAAATTTAGTTCAAGGGCAAACAAAGATGGAAGGGAATCTCTTGATGGTTTGAATGATCAGAAACATGGAAATAACGCATTACGGGATGAGAAAGACGGTGCTTCGGGAGATGAATATTTGGAAGATTCTTTGTTTTCTTATGTCCAAAAGGTTCAGTCAAGCATGATTAGGAAATCCCAAGGTTCATCAAGACTGAAACAGGGAAAGGAAACTCAAATTTCTGATGATGGGTTGATATCAACTTCCGTTGCTGGCTCAGACGTTCTTCCTACACATGTCTTGGTTGGGGAATCAAGATCTGCATCTAAATTGGTCAATAAATTCCCAGCTTCTGATGAAAGTTTGCATTCAGCACCTGTGAGGGATTCAACCTTGATCCATCAGACTGCCGATGATAGTTTGCCTCAAGTCCCAGACAATGTACAAGGTAATATTGAGACAAATGAAATATTGAGATCCAATGATGCCGAAGATGAAGCATCTCTCAAAGCAATCTCTGAGAATTCAATTTTCAATTCCGTGGTCCATAGATCCGAATCCTTTTTTAGGGCATGTTCTGGTATGATTACTAGAGTCCAAGATGGTAAAATCAATTCTGAGACCAATGAAAATCGTGCTGTTTTAGCCGAGGATGCACATGTTTCAAATCGTACAATCAATACAAGTTCTGCGAATGCTAAGGACTGTTGTTTGCCTCCTTTTCAAGAGCCCGTGGTAGGGGTAAAACATGAGAAGGAAGATGATTTATCTCATGATGTTTCAAAGCTACCGGTTGCTTTGAAACAGATAGAGAAAGGCCAGTTTGATGAAGTTGTACCAGTAGGAGATTCCAGTGACCACCTTGATTCACAATCGAATGCAGTTCCAACGAGACATATCCCGAGTATGGACCCTAAAATTTCCTCTTCAGATGGCGGAGAAGTTCCTGAGTTTTGTTTAGACGACATATCATTTAATAAGGAATGTGACAATACATCTCTGCACATGGTTAAAAGTTTTCCCCATGAAAACTTGGAGCGGTCAACATCACTGTCTGATTGTGTGAGGAAGGTGGGAGATGATGTGAAATCAGATCATCGAACTAATTTTGACTTTAGTTTTAATGATTTTAGGCAATTCCCATCTCACTTGTCATCATCTGTAGCGGATGTACCACAGGAGGAACGCAGATCCAGTAGCGACAGTCTAACTAGAATACGTGGTAAATGCATTGAGGATTCAGATATTGCTTCAGTTTCTTCACAAGAGGATGATGGTCAAGTTTCTGAGGGTAGATTATCAGCACATGGAGTCCACAAATATGATGTGGCTTCCCGAATAAAATGTCTGGACGCAACCCATAAAACTGGTGACCACGGACTCTTTTCTCAACTTGCTCATTTAATGCCAAAAAGTGCATATCTTAAAAGCAATGACCTTTCAGGGAACGAAGAGGCCGATGGGATCTCTTCGCCATCCAATTTACTGGACCATGATGGAATCTGTGTAGAAGATATAGAATCCTTGGCTGATCCTGAAACTAAAGATAATGGGCTATCAGCTGGCCAGCGTACTGCTCGTAATGCTAAAAAGCATAGGCATGGGGACATGGCTTATGAGGGGGATGCAGATTGGGAGATTTTGATGCACGAGCAAGGTTTTCTTGTTAGCCATCAGGTTGTAGATGGTGACAAGCCTTCTAAAGCAAGAGAAAAGTTTGATTCGGCATCGACAATTGTAGAGTCTGAAAATGGAAAGACAGCAGCTGTGTCGGCTGGGCTAAAAGCTCGTGCAGTTGGTGCTCTTGAGAAAATCAAGTTTAAGGAAGTGCTGAAGCGCAAAGGTGGACTTCAGGAGTATTTGGAATGCCGGTCAGTATCCATTCTTAAATCAGCTTTCCTAACTATTTGTGCAGTTTTTTTTAGTTGATATTGATTGTTTGAACTGGAAGCTATTCAGTCTTTGCCTACGTTTGCATTTTCACTCTGTTTATTTGGGTACGTGTTCTCAGTTCTTTAATAAGTTCTAGCTATCATTTGTAAGATCAATGCATCTCATCACTACAGAATCCGACATGTTTTTGAAAGTTTGCAAGGTGAAAGAAACTTATATAAGTTATTTTATCAAGTTATACATACACATTTTCCATATATTCAGTTTTGTTTGCAATTTGTGATGAATATGTGAAGCCTGTGTCAATAGAGGATGAGGCGCTACAGCAACTCACGAGAGTTGACTAAGTGGACTTTGAGAATTCCTCTGGAATAACAATTATTCCACATTGGCTCAAAATCATTCTCGTCCTGATTTGCAAAGTGTATTACAGTTTTATGCCTTCATTTCGCCAATGTGCTCCCATAGTTGCTTCCATTTATTCCTTTTTTTATTTTTGTAAAATTTATTGATTTTGGGTTAGTGATGGGTCATTGTTGATTATGTGTGCCATCTACTTTCGAAAGGTTGTTTAGTTCAACAACTGCTTAATTTGCTGCTTTAATGTCGTGTTTCTATAGCTTCTTAGTAGACTTTGAAAATTATGCTTGGAACTTGACAGTTTTTTTAACTTATCTGAATTCTCTTTTCTCTGAAATGATCATTACAAGTTTGATTTATTGATCACAAATTATATGCTCAGTAGTGATTTGACCCATGAACATCCTTACATTACTTTATAATTTTCTTTGTTGGGCCACACAGATTCTGTGAAATGTCTCCTCCTTTAATTGCTGCTTTGCCAATTTACAATGGGACCATAATTATTTGCTGTGGTGCAGGAACCACATTTTGAGTGTCTGGAACAAAGATGTCAGTCGCATTTTGCCACTAGAAGACTTTGGAGTATCTGATATTCCATTGATGGATGAACATCCACGCACTACTCTGATTAGGGATGTATATACATTTCTTAATCAACGTGTAAGTTCTTAGAAATTCATTAATATTATCTGGATTTTGTTCTTGATGGCTTATGAAAATGATGTCTTAATTTTTTGTGGTTGCTTTGATACTTCTTAGATTATTAGTAATTACATAGGACAAGTTGTCAACTGTATATAGTGATTCAAAATTTCTGCTAAAATTTATTTCTCATGTTTCTATGCGTTCATTCCTACAGGGTTGTATAAATTTTGGAGTTGCTTCTGAGAAGGATAAAACAGAGAACAACTCTAATCATAACTTTAAACTTCTAAAAGAGGAAAAGTTTCGGGAAAATTCTGGGGCTCCTGTTGCAGATTCTGAAGATGGAGTTTCCTTTATCCTTGGGAGGGTAAAGAGTTCCAAGACTTCTACTGTGGGAAAGAATGATAATTTGTCTTGTGATGAAAAACAAGCGGGAAAAGACAAAGATGAGGAATTCGCAAATATTCAAACCAAAGAATTATCTATACCAGCTGTTCCTGAAAGATGCTCCCCTGATGATTGCCAAGGAAATGGTTACCCGGATGCAAATGCAAAGCTTCCTGAAGGTGTGATTGATTTGGATTATACAGGTTCTATTCTTTCCAGTGAAGACGAGAATGGTAGAACACTCCCTACTGTGTGTCCTGATTTAATATCTTCTGTTGAATCAGACATCGGTGGAGCAGTAACTATTATGCAGTCAAAGTCCCAAAAAGTCGCTGCTCAATCATTGTCCTTAACTGGCGACGGGCTTATACATTGTGACTCTGAACCCAGGAAGAGAATTATCGTAGTAGGTGCAGGTCCTGCTGGATTAACTGCAGCACGGCACATGCAACGCCAAGGCTTTGATGTTACAATTCTCGAGGCTAGGAATAGAATAGGAGGTCGCGTGTTCACGGATCGCTCATCTTGCACAGTTCCGGTAGATCTTGGCGCTAGCATCATTACAGGTGTTGAAGCAGATGTAGCTACTGAAAGAAGACCAGACCCTTCTTCATTGGTGTGTGCTCAGTTGGGACTTGAATTGACTGTATTGAACAGTGATTGTCCTCTTTATGACACCATAACTGGTGAGAAAGTTTCTGCACGTCTGGATGAAGCCTTGGAAGCAGAATTTAATAGCCTACTTGATGACATGGTAGTGCTAGTTGCTGAGAAAGGGGAATATGCGATGAAAATGTCTCTTGAAGAAGGTCTAGAATATGCGCTCAATAGACGTCGCATGGCTGGTACTGGAAGGGATCAAGTGGACAGTGAATCGAATAAAGTATTGGATACTCTCATGGACTCTGGAAAGTTTGGTTTTGGTGTTGATGATGAAGTTATTGAGGCTCAGGGTTCTAAATCAGAGATTTTGAGCCCTCTTGAGAGGAGGGTCATGGATTGGCATTTTGCCAACTTAGAGTACGGTTGTGCTACTTTGCTTAAAGAAGTATCACTTCCATATTGGAACCAGGATGATGATTACGGAGGGTTTGGTGGAGCTCATTGTATGATTAAAGGGGGTTACAGTAGTGTTGTTGAATCTCTAGGAGAAGGACTTGGCATCCACTTGAACCACGTCGTAACAAGTATTTCATATTGCACGAAGGATAGCAGGACTAGTGATGAACTCAGTAGCAAGGTTAAAATTTCAACATCAAATGGCAAGGAGTTTCACGGAGATGCTGTCCTAGTCACGGTGCCACTTGGCTGTCTGAAAGCAGAAACCATCAAATTTTCACCACCATTGCCCCAATGGAAATATCTATCCATCAAGCGGCTTGGTTTTGGTGTTCTAAATAAAGTTGTGTTGGAGTTTCCTGAAGTATTTTGGGATGACTCCATTGATTATTTTGGTGCCACTGCTGAGGATACAGATCTCAGGGGATGGTGTTTTATGTTCTGGAATGTCAAGAAGACAGTTGGAGCACCTGTTCTTATAGCGTTAGTTGTTGGTAAGGCTGCCTTAGATGGTCAAAATATGAGCCCTTCTGACCATGTTACACATGCCTTGGTTGTTCTCCGCAAAATTTTTGGGGAAGAACGAGTTCTTGATCCTGTTGCATCTGTAGTGACCGATTGGGGAAGGGATCCTTACAGCTATGGTGCTTACTCCTATGTTGCAGTGGGTTCCTCAGGAGAAGACTATGATATTTTGGGCAGGCCAGTGGAGAACTGTTTATTCTTTGCTGGTGAAGCAACCTGCAAGGAGCATCCTGACACTGTAGGTGGTGCAATGATGAGTGGGCTTCGAGAGGCTATACGTATTATTGATATATTGAGTACAGGAACTGATTATACTGCAGAAGTAGAGTTCATGGAGGCTGCAAGGAGACGTTCTGCCAGTGAAAGGAGTGAAATAAGGGATATTATCACGAGACTTGATGCAGTGGAACTATCAAGTGTTCTGTGCAAGCATTCTTTGGAAGGGACCCCAATTTTGACCAGGGGTAGTCTGCTACGGGACATGTTTTTCACTGCAAATACTACAGCTGGACGATTGCATCTGGCTAAAGAGCTGTTAAACCTTCCTGTTGGATTTCTCAAGACTTTTGTTGGGACTAAAGAAGGACTAAGCACGCTCAACTCATGGATTTTGGTATGTGCTCGCTCATGATGTTCTGTTTCTGCGCCAGTGTCCAATTCGTGTTGTGAATGTTGTTTGAATAACTATTTTTATTTGGTTGTCGGAATCTTATTGTTCGTGACAGGATTCCATGGGGAAAGATGGAACTCAGCTCTTGCGTCACTGTGTCCGTCTACTTGTACTTGTCTCAACTGATTTACTTGCAGTCCGCTTATCAGGTATTATCCCCATCACATTAGTCTTGTTTTGATTGCTGCAGTCACTGCAGGTCTTATATGTGGGTTTATGTAAGGATCAGTTTTGTCTGTTGAAAGACATTCTAATGCTGTTAGCATGGACTTTGGAAGTTGTTTCTTTCAGATGCTTGTATGGTATTATCTTCTGGTTAATCCTTTTGTTTTTTTGTGCGTTTTCATAATCAAGATTGTTTTCATCCAGAAAGACTGATTGTTGGCTTTTAATAGCATTAATGGTCAATGAACTTTCCATCGAGCATTTTTTGCTAGTTCTTGATTTTAGTAATCTACAGTTTTAGGGCTTCACTGGGTTTTGATAACATATCATTCCTTGGTCAATAGTGATAGTTTTTGTTGGCAGAGTCACTTGTTGAACTTCATTTTTCCTATGTAGGTATTGGAAAAACTGTAAAAGAAAAAGTCTGTGTACATACCAGCCGTGATATACGCGCCATAGCAAGCCAGCTAGTAAGTGTGTGGGTTGAAATTTTCCGTAAGGAGAAGGCATCTAATGGCAGACTGAGATTACTGAGGCAACCAAATACTCTGGACTCATCAAAAAGCAAGTCTTCTGTAGTTTCAGGAAAGCCTCCTCTGTTCGTACCTAATGCTGCAACAGAGGGCAAAGGAAGTCCTAAAGTTTCTGCATCTGCCGGCCACCAGTATCCTTCAAGTGCAAGCACTAAGAAAGTGAGCAACAGACCTGTCAAAGCAGAATCAAGATTTGACTCAAAATCAGAGGTTAAATCGTCAGCTTCTCATGGTTCAGTAGGAAGGCAAAATGCCATGGAGAAGGAAAATGGAGATATTCCCATGACTGAAGAGGAAAAGGCTGCCTTTGCTGCTGCCGAAGCAGCCCGTGAAGCAGCCCTTGCCGCTGCTGAGGTTTGTTTCNTGCAGTGGCTTTGACATTAACCAGTCAGGCACAAACTTAGTGTGTATTTATTTGGTCATTGCTTTAAGGTCACTATATTTCCTCTCACCCTTTTTCCAATTGGTGACTTGTACCTTCTGACATTCTTTATGGATATATTAGAGTCGCATTGGGTCTTTGACATAGCTTTCAGCTCAAAACATTTGCACACATCATACATATTTAGTTTGAGATGCAGACCCATTCTGGTGCCATACTGCACTAAACTTCTGTTCCAACATTTTGCTCCCATGAGCAGGCATGGAGCAGTGAGCCAATTGGGGATGTCTGTTCAATTGTTTGTGTGTTGGCCTGACGTTGCAATTAGTCAAATTTGTTGTTTTAAGCTTCGTTTTTGAGAAATTGTCTCTTCTGGAGTATGCTTGCTTTGGACCTTTATGGTATTGAAGACTATGAAAACCTCTATTTTGTCATTGTGACCTGCCAGGGCCTGTCCAGTTCTTAGGCTATCGATCTTTTACTTTTCTTCATCTTGTCTCAATATCCTAACAAATACCAATAACTTGAGTCGTAACGAATGCAGAAAAAATGTTTCATGATTGCTTGTACGAAGAATAAAACCAACTTTAATTACACAAGTAAAATGTTCAACATTACATAATGTAGTTTCCTCTTTTTCTCCCTCTTTTAACTGGCTTTAGTTTTGAGGGTGGGTTGAGGTGTAAGTAGATTATTAAAAGTATTGTTTCCTTTGCGCCTCTTACCATTTTCACTTTGCCCTCTACATTTTAGGCGTATGCTTCTTCTGGTGCCGTGTATAACACCTCACTGCAGCTTCCTAAGATACTCTCATTTAACAAATTTGCTAGACGGGAACAATATTCACACATGGATGAGTCTGATTGTAGAAAGAATTGGTCTGGAGGTGCAACAGGAAGGCAAGATTGCTTATCTGAAATAGATTCTAGGAATTGCAGGGTAAGGGATTGGTCGGTTGACTTCTCAGCTGCTGGTGTTAACCTTGATAGCTCTAAAATATCCGTTGATAATCGTTCCCAGCGGAGCCAGTCAAATGAGATTGCAAATCATTTAAACTTTAAAGAGCACTCTGGGGAAAGTGTAGCTGCAGACAGCAGTATATTCACAAAAGCATGGGTTGATAGTGCTGGTAGTGTAGGGATAAAGGATTACAATGCTATTGAGAGATGGCAATGTCAAGCTGCTGCTGCAAGTTCTGGTTTCTCTCATGGGACAATGCACATTACAGATGAGGAGGATTCAAACATGAGTTCAAAATTACGTTTGTCGAAACATGATGCACGAGCCAATGAGAGCTCTGCTTCGCACATCATAGTGAACAAAGAAAAGAAAGACAATGAACCTAGGGGGACAGAACGTATTAAACAGGCTGTTGTGGATTATGTAGCATCACTGCTCATGCCTCTTTATAAAGCAAGAAAAATTGACAAAGAAGGTTATAAGTCAATAATGAAGAAAACTGCCACAAAGGTTAATCTCCTTTCTGTAATTCATTCTTCATCAACTTTATTCATTCTCCAATGTTGCCTTTTCCTGATCTTATTTGTTTCTTTGATTTTAGGTAATGGAACAAACTACTGACGCCGAGAAAGCTATGGCTGTTTTTGAGTTTCTTGATTCCAAACGTAAAAACAAGGTGGGAACACAGTTTCCATTGGTTATAACTTAGTTATATTAGTGTCTGTTTTGTCATTTTTTTTGTTGCAAATGGTTTCAGCAGGCATAAACTTTCTTTAGGACGTTAATGTGTTGCAAAGGGTCAGTCAAGCGTAGGCTAGTATACTGCAATCATGATGGTTTGATTGTCCACCACTAATAAGATTTCGAGTAGTCAGAAATTCTGTAATCTGTCTGCTATATAAACTATTGAAATATTTCCTGAAGAAAGCATCAAATATATCAGGATCCTTTTTTACCTGCTTGTTTTTATCATTAACCCCACTGCTTATCAACTATATAATTGTATAATTGTTTCTATTTTTTTTTTTTTAATATGTTTAAAATGGTTTCAGTAAGAACTTATTATAGTCATGCAGCAATATAATGGGCTTAATTTAATGTGAATGTGTGACGCCATATATTTATGACATCACTTGCTAAATTTTTCTGTAAAGCTAACCCAGCCTTGGTGGTCTTTCATAATGCATGGTACTTTCCTTGTTCATCCTTGGGATTTGTTTGTGTTACCACCTCCTTGTTCTTCACATACATGGTTAAGAAACATGGGATTCTTTTTAGGTTCTCTTGGAAAACTTAAATTCACACTCCATTTTCGTATGGGCAGATTCGAGCCTTCGTGGACATGTTGATTGAAAGACACATGGCAACAAAGCCAGGCATAAAATAGTGATGGTATCATCCTCCCCTTACTGGTCTTGGAAGGCTGCTGAATTCGTGGTCCAAGCAGTCACTTCTGGTGTTGTACAGCTGAGGGCAATCTTGGAATGTTTCCCATTTAAAATTATTCCTTCAAGCTATCATGAGGAGTTGGTTGCTCCAAGAGTGCAGCCTGGATTGGAAGTGGAACCCATGAGCATCTGTAAATGAATCTGTGCCGTCCTGTATCAGTCTCCTCCAAACATTTAGGGGTATCTTGGTTTAATCGGAATATTTCTGAAGCATGACAAGTTAAGACATTGCAAGGGTGGCTGCAAAGGTCTGCTTCTTGAAGTTTTAAACATGGGTGCTCCAATAGCCAACGGTTCCTATTTGTTCGTTAGAATTGAAAGCTGTATCTTTTAGGGTAGAAAGTGAAGGCCCCTATTCTTTTTTGTCAGGGATCATCGTAGAATAGAGAAATTACTTGTTTTCTGACTTAGATATGTGTACAGCTCAGAATTATTTCATGGCAACAAATATACATAATTCTCCCTGTAGTATTATTATCTGCTGTCCTTTTTTTTTTGTATTTTTTTTATTACCTGGAGTGCTTTTCTTCAAAGATGAACAGAAGAAACCTTTAAAACTCAGCAGCTTGTTTGATGAGGTACATTTTATGGTTCAAAAAGTACAAAAGAAGAATTTCAATTTTTGTTTATTGTACTGTCTAGTTCAGTCCAATAGCGTATATCAAACATGTCCCAAGTTTTTAGAAGTACTGCTATAGAGGGCTGTGCTTTCGATTTTCTTTATTCTTCTTTGATCAGAAGTCCATGTGCATCTGGTCAACCTGGAAGTTGTGTGCAATTAATAAGGCTTGCTCATTTCAGTTAGCAAGGTCAATATCCATTTGGATGAAGGCAGTGTCTGTCTCTCACCTATGTTTTGCAGATTGCATGTCCAAAGGTTATAGACTTGCAGTGTAATCAGACACCAGATTTGCAAAGGTATAAGGTGATACACTAAATGCTATGTAAAAAGCACGTGTCTCTTGTATGGCTCTTGCAACATAGTGTCTACCATATTCTAAGACCTGCGATATGATACAGGGTCATATACCATGTCTCCAAGTCTCTATTGCTTGGAATATAGAATCTTGATTTGCTGTATGTTGCTGATTCTCCAATGTTTCAGATAAGTTAGTTATTGACTGCTGATGTATTTAAGAAGTTAGCATATGCCACTTCCTTCCAGTGGAATATGTCACAGGCTTCAGTTTTTAACCTTGCTGATGCAATAGTTGTACAAATTGGAAGTTTAGTATAGATGAAAAGGCGGTGAGGGTAATCTGCTTAAAGCCTTTTTTGCCATTTAGCAGATTCTTACAGAATAAAAATTTAAACCAAATTTCTTGCATATGCAGTATAAGATATTGAACTTACAAGCATGTTGATGATGCATTCCAATATAGATGAAAATAATGTATTTTTAGATTTTAATTTTTTTATTTTTGGGGTGGACCGCTCAGTTTTCTATCATCTTATTGTTTGGCTAACACTTTTTGATTGTTGCCAGGTAAGCATAGCACAATGGAGGCTCTGTGCATTGAGAAGTTGCATAGTAGCATGTCCACCTTGTCATCATGTTTCTGGTCATTATTGGGTAAGCATCTCTCTCTCTCTCTCCCCACCCCATCCTAAGATGAAATTTGGCCAAGAATTTCAATGACCGAAATTTGTAAAAGTGGAACAAGCTTGTGATGGACTGAAGGGTGGTCTTCAATCCTGTTCACGGTATTGTAAGATTGAGGTTCTGCCTGTCCATTGATTCTTCTTTCTTCTCAATTTCGGAATGTTCTGTTTATTTTCTTTGGATGTGATGTTTGTCTGGGGGAGTATGTATATGTAAAACAAATATACTTGATTCATTGTACGTGACTTGGAGAAATTGGTCATCTTCAGATAAGCCCGCGTGTCCTTGAGGCATTATCAAAGCTTGATAAGCACCTTCACTTCTGGATGGATTGCATGTCTTTATACCAACTCTTTGGCATTGTTACAAGTAAAATTTATCCATACTTCGGTCACATGGCACTTTCAAAGAAAAATTGCATTATTGGTCCCCCAACCTATTTCCCCGAGTAGCATTTTTGTTCCCAAGATTTAAAAAGGGGCAAGTGGATCATAAACCTTTCATCATAATGATGAAAACCGAATGGATCTCCATTAAATTGTTACGTGACCCTTACAGTAACATGCCTCTCATGAAATTTCTGCACACCAACCTAAGTTGTGAAACGAAACCTAGCTTCAAAAGGTTCAGACATGCGAGGGCAACATGACATTATCATGGAGATTTTGATGGTTTTCGTCGTTGGGACATATTGTGCAACTATAATGAACTATTAATGACCAACTTGTACGTTTTAAAGTTGTGGGGTCCAACTTGCTTCCCGGATAATATACTGGGGATCAATAGTATAATATTCCCCACTTTGAACAGAAGTTATAGGTTACATCCTCTTATACTTCTCCATCACTTCCCTGGGATTTGACATGCATTTCTTGCTTCTGTAGTCTCTTCGTTTTTCTTTTCTGTTTCCCTCTTATTTGGAAGGCACTGGATACTTCACCGATAAGTTATTAACTAGTAGCATTTTATGGCGAACTCTTTCTAATATGAAATGATAGCACGTGAGGGTATCAGAAAATGTTAATGTGGATGTTTGAACTCTCTCACAATGTGCTTTCTGTCAGCCGTGGCTGGTTATGGAGTTCACCTTGACTGAATGATTGTGGATCTTATTCCTCTTTCCGCAGTCAGCACGTTTGGCTAATTTTAGAAAGAAGTCAAAGCTTACTTTGAAGGATGTGTTACTTCTTTACTTGTACGTAAAAAAGTAAGTTATTTTGACAGTAAGGTAAGGGTTATTTTCAAATAAAGTTTTTCATTTTCAGGTTGACATTCAACTTATTTCCTTACTAGTAACTCATAAGTAATATTTTAAGCTTAGCCGAGCATGCACTATTAGATTTTACTTGTATAAACTGGCTTCTTGTGCTCATAATTGTCCTCCTCGATGTGAAATGTAATCATATGCCACTTTCCCTTTGACTATTGCTGATAATCTCTCGCTTGGTGCCCGTTACCATTACCTTTTCTTTATGATGGATTACTGAATATTGACGCATGATTTTGTTGTCTATTGAATTTACTGCCAGGAAATATGACTGTCCGTTAAGGCAAAGAATACGTATAGCTTGATTTTGTTCGTTCCACGAACTATTCGTATTTTGGGAGTAAACGAGGAGTTGGTGAAATTCTTGTGTTCTTTATCCTGCATCAATAATTTGTGAATTACCTCGCTTGTTCCCACAGTTTCCATTACACTTGATTATTTCTTTAGATAGACTGTACGCACATGGGGTCATGCGGAGTTCATTGACCTTACAAAATTACGAAATTTCTTTTTCTTTTTTTTCTTTTTTACTTTTCTCCAAATTTTAAATTTTCCATTCCCTCTCTTGAATACTATGCGACTTTTCACTACAATGCCCAAACCACAAATCACCAATTAATTTTTCATTTCTTCCCAATATCTGTAGTTTGTCAATTTCATTTCTTCCCAATTTTTCATTCCCTATGTAGCGCTAATGCGTCATTAAATGATAAATTCCACATTTCATTTTGCCTATTATCTAATACCCCACATAGATTGGGATTATAACCCCAGCAGAGCTAATTCGCATTATTCAATAAAAAAAAAGTCTAGCTACTACCACTGATCATGTTAAAACTTCCTACCAGACATGTCATCTTCCAAACCATCACATGATTATTAACACGCTGTAAGAAGAGAATTTGACACTAAAGAACTCAGAAGAACTCCGCATGATCCCATGTGCGTCCTCAACTATTATGATTCATTTCCTGCATTTGTTCGATAAAAAATGCGAGTATGGTTTGTTCACTTTCTCCATCCATTTCTATCGAAATTGTCTGAAATGAATTGGTCTTCTTAATCTTGTGTTTGATCTCTTCCATCTATGCATCACTTCTTGTAACTATGTTGAAAAAAGGTTTAGCATTGGATAGAATGACATGTATAATAACATGTTTGTTGTGCAAAATTAAGAAAATGATGTCCAATTTTATGGCCTAAAGACACGTGTAATAACATGTTTGGTGTGCAAAATTAGATCATATTGAACAAGCATTATATAGTAATTTTCTTATTTATAGCATGTTTGGCAAAGCTTTTATTAGATTATAAGTTGTGAATTCTACGACGTGTGGATAATTCATAATAGGAAAGTTATGAGTTTTTTTGGAACGTGTAACTAAAGTAATATGACTGGTTTATAAACAATTATGAACTTTGCCAAACATATCCTTGATAGTTTCGAATATGGTTCATTCTGCCTTGGGTAACATGCCATTAGTGGCTTGGTTAGGCGATTGTGGCTGAAACAATAGAACCTTTTGACAAGCCTATTGAAGTGGTAACATCGAGCTTATTCTTTCTGTGATTTTTTGGCATGCTAATTGAGACGAGGGAAACCTCATGGAATGGCAATGACAAGTTTCAATTTTTCAATTTTGTATTTTCCGTATCGTCTCAATTCTCTCAAAATATGCTGCCAATTTTTATAGGATCCAAAATATGGTTGCGGGCAATATTCAAACCACTCTGTGCATGTTTAGTATCTGATATTTGATAAAATTTTACAGTAATGAATGAGATTATAGTTTCTTTTAATTCTCTATTTATTAGTATTATTTATCTTGGTAAAAATTGGTGCATAAATTCTAAGAATTAAGCGAGTGTACATTCCATAGGTTACATCATCAGACACGGATCCAGACTTTTTATACTGTGGGGTCAAAAATGATATAAAACAAGATGTACATGCAGCAGGATTGAAATTCTATTGGACTCTAGAATGTGCATGCAGCTTTGTGTAAATAAAATTAGATAGAATTTCGACTTAATAGAAATGTAGGAAAAAGAGAATGCAAAAAAAAAAA